TGTGTGTGTGTGTATGTGCCAGACACATGTGAAGTCGCAGTCGAGCGTCGCAGTGTAGAGTGGAGTAGTAAAGTCGAAGTCGAGCATGGTAGTGCAAGAAAGTAGTAAAGTCGAAGTCGCGCGTAGAGTAGGGTAGGGGTCGAAACGTGCGCGCCGCCGTGCGTAGGATTTTCTCGTGCCGCCACCCAAAAGGGCAGCCTACGGGAACCACTTTGCCCGTTGGGAAGCCCGTGCACAGAAATGGCCCACTCCAACGGGCAAGCAAACCGGTTTCCGGCGAAAGGCCTCGATCGGGTCCTGCCTGATCAATCTGGGCCGTCGGGCCCAAGGTACCGGGCCAACAGCCTGGATTGACGCGTGATCTTAAGATCTTAAGACCGCGCTCCAATCCGGCCCGTCGATCCGGCAGGACCCGACGGCCCGGATGACAGATTTGTTACATGATTCGGTCGATCTGGGCCGTGGGCCGGTAGGACAAAGGACGGCCCGGATGTTAGATTTGTCCCCTTAGCGATTTTAATACTGTAGGGATTAAAGGCAGTAAACAAAGGCAAAGGCAAGGATCCGATAGGAAGACAAGCAACCAAACATGACATCCATTCATTCATTCATACATTCATACACAATATCTGAGATGGGAAATCGCAAGGACAAGGGTGAGCGAAAAACCAAATCCAGATTCCGAACAATAGAAAACGGGCAAATCACCCAGAGCCGAAATCAAAATTTATATACACGAGACAGGAGGGAGAAAAGATAAAAGAAACAACAAATCTGCGTCCATCAACCTCAGCTCCCTCTTCCTCTCTCTCTCTCTCCGATGCGAACAGTCCATCGTCATGCACCAACCCACGAAGCCGTCACCCCGCTTAGTCCTCCCGCACCCGTCAGGTTCGCCCGCGCCCACAGTCCGTCGTGGCTTGCGTCAACCCCGCGCGTTTGGCACCAGCCCGTCGGGTCGCCCGACTCCTGCTCTACTCACCTCTTACTTCGCTCGTGTGCCGACCCTCTCTGATTGCGCAACCCCGAGCTTCCAACAACTGGTTAAGAAAGCTGACTAATCGCGCAGCCGAAATTTATAGCGTGCATGCATGCGCGAGGAACACGGAATTACAAAGACTTAGAAGGAGAGAAGGGGAGGGATTGCCTACATCTGCATGGTCAGAACGCGGCGTGGGGGACGTAGCCGCTCTCCACGCATCGATCCGATCATGCAGGCCGTGGCTACCAAAAAACACAGCAAAAGAATGAGAAGAGGGGCGGGAAAGACGAAGCACAAGAAGAAAGATACAATTACAATGGCGCCAATCCAAAATTGCAGTTACACACCCGATTAAAGGCGCCGACTAATCAGAATTCCGTTGCAGCCGCATAAAGAAGCACGTAAGCAAAAAGGCGCCACGGGGCAAAAGAAAGTCCTAATTACAAAATTCCTAAATTCCTATCTAATGCGAAAAAGCAAAAAGCACAAGTTCCGGAAAGAAAGTCCGAAATTCCGAGAGCCATCTGGGCTCGACAAAATTCGAAAAAGAATTCGAAAAGGAAATTTCAAAAAGAACGAAGCAAAATTCCCTCGCGATGTCCGCGCCTAAAGAGTTCCGAAACCGAAACAAAAGAAACGACGTCAACATTTATTATTCGCGCACTTGGCGGCGCGCCAGCCATCCACCCGACCAATCAATCGCCCGTCCCGGGACACACCCAGCTCCGAACTCAGCCATCTGAAAAGAATAGATGCAAAAGACGAAGAAGCGAGGGTACTGATGCAATTTCCCATCCATCCCAATCTCCCGTGATTGGCCCAACCTTCCCAGCTTAGGACCCCTCATTGCAATCGCACAGAAAGTCGCGCACTACAGAAAGTGGTTCGTCACAACCACACCAAAACGTAACCACAACCACAACAGCAACAACCACAACAGCAACAACCACAACCACAACGATAACAACCAGAAACACCACCACAACCACCACCACATTGTCGACGACGACAACAGCAACAACAACAACAACCACAACAACAACAACAACCACCAACACCACCATGACAACCGCAACAACCCACCAACACCAACACCTACAACCCACCACCACCAACACCAACACCAACACCAACACCAACACCAACAACGCCAACGCCAACGCCAACGCCAACGCCAACACCAACACCACCAACACCACCACCACTACCACCACCACCACCACCACCAACACCACCACCAACACCACCACCAACACCACCACCACCAACACCACCACCAACACCATCCACCACAACAACGACGACGATGGCAACGGCGACGACGACCATGACGACG